ATCTCTGACATCTCAGTGTTTTCTCTGTGCTCTTCCAGATGTCCAACACAAAGTTAACTTAGTGCTCCTACACTAAAGTCTCTCAGTGTGACTGCTGCCTTTCGTTAACTGCTGGACCCTGACACTACTGAAGATGGTTTACGCCTTCATCCAGTTACTCTCTAACATATAATAGGACTTTCTTCATAGGCTTCTCATAATTCATATTTACTTTTTTTTTTTTTGCTTTTTCATCATCTGTCTCTTTTTTTTTTTTTTACTTTCATTCATGACTTTTTTTTTTTAAATTTATTTATTTATTTATTTTTTATCACAACCATATGTCTCCTTTTGGATACTAGAGCTTTTGTCTCATTTATTATTGTATCCCTGGAGTCTATCATGGAGCCTGACATACTGTAAGAACTTAATATATGCTTGTTAAATAAATTATTAAATTACAAAAGACTACAGGAGAAATATTGCTGACTGCAAAAAAATAGCCAGAATTGAGCAATTTTTTAACCTCTTGGTTCTAAGTCAAGTTATTAATGAACTCTATAATAATGCAACTCTATAACAGAGAGTGGAGGTCCATGCTTCTTATAAGCCTGTTAGAATACAAGGCATTATTTAACACAGATCCATCATCATTGGGATAACAAGATACACAATTTATTTTCTTTGAATTTTATACTTACATAAATCCCCACTTTCTATAACTAGGAATGATAATAACTTACCTATGAGGGTTTCATGAAGATCAGGAGTTGGTTATGGGTTAGATCCAGAAAGTTTTGTTGGTCAGAAAATAACTTCAAAAATAAAAGCCACCCAAAGAATCAACTTGCTGTAACATGCAACATCACTTAATAGCATTTATTTTACAATCTTTTATTTAAATATCAACTATAATACTAAGAATCAATCATAATATGCCATATATGCATAATTCTAAAATGTTGTTCAGTTGCTCAGTTGTGACCAACTCTTTGCAACCCCATGGACTGCAGAATGCCAGGCTTCCTTGTCCTTCACCATCTTCCAGAGCTTGCTCAAACTCATGTCCATAGAGTCAGTGATGCCATCCAACCATCTCATCCTCTGTTGTCCCCTTTTCCTCCTGCCTTCAATCTTTCCCAGCATCAGGGTCTTTTCTAACGAGTCGGCTCTTCACATCAGGTGGCCAAAGTATTGAAGCTTCAGTTTCCGCATCAGTCCTCCTAATGTATATTGAGGACTGATTTCCTTTAGGATGGACTGGTTTGATCTCCTTGCAGTCCAAGGGACTCTCAAGAGTCTTCTCCAACACCACAGTTCAAAAGCATCAGTTCTTCAGGATTCAGCCTTCTTTATGGTTCAACTCTCATGTCCATACATGACTACTGGAAAAACCACAGCTTTGACTAGACGGACCTTTGTTGGCAAGGTAATGTCTCTGCTTTTTAATATGCTGTCTAGGTTGGTCATAGTTTTCTTCCAAGGAGCAAGCGTCTTTTAACTTCATGGCTGCAGTCACCATCTGCACTGATTTTGGAGCCCAAGAAAATAGTCTGTCACTGTTTCCATTGTTTTTCCATCTATTTGCCACGAAGTGATGGGACCGAATGCCATGATCTTTGTTCTTTGAATGTTGAGTTTTAAGCCAGTTTTTCATTCTCCTCTTTCACCTTCATCAAGGGGCTCTTCAGTTCCTCTTTGTTTTCTGCCATAAGGGTGGTGTCATCTGCATATCTGAAGTTATTGATATTTCTCCTAGCAATGTTGATTCCAATTTGTGCTTCATCCAGCCTGGCATTTGGCATTCTAAATTAATTTTGCTCAAATAAATGCAAATAGATTATATGACATGGATTTTCACTGTGCCAAGTGGAACAATTGATCTTTAACTTTACAGTTAAATTTTCCTTGAATCTACTTCAAATGTGTATTTTTTTTTTAACCTTTTCTAACTCAGAAGGAAAAATGTTCCTTTTCTTCTCCAGTCTAAATGGGCCATCAGGATCCTTAAATGCAACTCTTCCTTCCTCTTCTTTCTCCACCTGGAACGTTACACTCAAACTTTTAATATGCCCACTACTATTGTTTCTCCTTTCTCAGAACTCACAAACAAAAATCTTTTCCTCATCTTGTTACTGGTTCAAGCCACCATCCTGTGTCTGTCTTTCTTTTCTCATGCCCATGTTTCAAATAATTCAGTCATGATTTCTATTTTGCTATATGATTTTTGCCTTCCACTCATGACTGAAATTGCACTCTTGTAGCTCACAAATGATTGCCTGATCAGTAGATTCTTTTTGAGCCCTCATCCTTCTTGACATTTCTTTTTGACAGTTGATTATTCTTCCTGGTGACTCAGAGGTAAAGAATCTGCTCACAATGCAGGAGACCCGAGTTCCATCCCTGGGTCAGGAAGATCCCCTGGAGAAGGAAATGGGTACTCATTCCAGAATTCCATGGGCAGAGTGGCCTGGTGGCCTACAGTCAATGGGGTTGCAAAGAGTTGGACACGATCTAGCAACTAACACACATCCTTCCTTCTTGAAACTCTCTTCCCTGGTTTTGCGATACTGCAGCACCCTGTTTCATCTCTTCTACAAACTGCTTTTCCTTTCATTCCATTCATGGCTTTTTCCAGCAACACTCCAAAATAAGAAGCTCCGCAAGCCTGTCTTACTGGCAAGTCCTTTTTTCATAAATTTTCCTATTTACCCTTACATTTCAATTATCACCTTTATGTGAGTGATCCCCAAGATTACATTCAGCCAGCATCTCTTTTGTGAACTCCTAACCTATATTTTCAAATGCCAACATGACATGGCTATCTTAGTGCTCCTCTGGCATCTCAAACACATGTCTAAACTTACCAGCTCCTGCAGAAAATCCACTTTTCTGACTTCACTTTTTGGTTAATCATTGAACATGTTACCAGTCAGCTATGACAAGAGACTCTGAATCATGTTCTTTGTCTAACTTCCTTTCCAAAACTTTCAATCAGTCATAAAATTCTTTCGATTTTTCCTGTTCAAAGGTGCATTCAGCTGTCATGACCTTCCCATCACCATCACCTCCACCACTATAGTTAAGGCTGTCATCACTCCTCACCTGCACAGTCACGATCAGTTCTTAATTGGTGTCTCTCTCCAGTTTTCCCCCCAATCCAATCTATCCTATTCAGTGCTGCCAGAGCAATTAAAAAAAAAAAAAAGGCTCTGATCCTAATGCTTCCCTGATCAAGAATTTCTAGTGGTCTAATTGTCTCTAGAAAATCTAGACTTCTTAACCTGGCATTTGAGAACTTCATAGTTTGGGCCTCAAACATGTACTTTTTGGTCTTACAAATATATCAACTTTCTGTTTCTATGGCTGAGTTTTAAGAATATGGATTCTGAAGCCAGCTTGTTAAGTCTGAATCCTGGCTCCTCTTATTGGCTGTGTCGCCATGGACACGTTCCTTCACTTCTCTGTGCCTCAGTTTTCTCATTATAATAGGAATAGTAACACAACACTGCTGTGAATATGAAACATATGAGGACTACTTAGAAAAGTGAATGGCACATAGTAAACTCCGTATAATATGTTTCATGGAACAAATAGTTACATACGCCTATACTTATGTACATATGCCAGAAACTCTAAGGACCTGGGGATGTCAGTAAACAAAACAAACAAAAATCATTGCCCTTGTGGGTCTTACATTCTGTAATAAAAATTATTAATTATACATAATTCTATTTCTGGAATACCCTCTTTCTGCATTATCACCTTTAAAATTCTACCTTTCCTTCAAGACCCACTAAAATTTCTTACCCCTTGAAATCTTATCTTAAAAAGTTTCCCATCTGAACACCTCCAACTCTTTAAATCTTAACTATATTAACAGCATTTATCACATTCTACAATTCTATCCTGTACTATGAAATATCAAACACATCAAATATTATGCTTAGTTGCACATGTTTTTAAATTTTTCTTGATGGATTATAATGTCAGCTTTATCCCTATTCATCCTTGTAAACAGTATAGCATGCTGGACCTTATACTCAAGCACACAGTAGATGCTTCATAGATGTTTCTTGGATGAATGTAGGTAAAGAACTCTTTGCATGGGTTTTCATTTGACCTCAATTAACCTTATCTTTTTAAATTGAAAATAATACATTTAAAATATAGAACATTTTATTTTCAACTTTGAAAATATCAAGTATCAGTATCAAATATTTATTGTTCACAACTTGACTTTATTCATCACCATCATTTAGCTTCTTGTTTACTAGTAAACCAATGTTTGTTGTTTGGTTTACTAACTATACTCTACAGTATATTAATGTCCCGGGTTACCACTGTTTGAAAAGTGCCCTTAAGTTTTTGTTAAAGAAGCCATTGTGGACAGCATATATTTTAATTGTTGTATTTTCTGTGGTCATACAGATTTTTCCCATTTTTTACTTCTGATCATGATTAAAAAAAAGCCCAGGTACTCATTGGCAATTTTCTGGTTCATTACTTATTTACCTTCCTACTCCAAAAAACTGTAGATGTTTGACTTGTTTCTATGACATCTGAAAGAAAAATTCAGTTTCTCCAGCTATGGCTGGGAAGACCAGACCAACTGCAGATTCTTCCCTACTTTCTAGTCTATCTTTGCACAATGCTACAGTAAAATATAGACTACCCTATATTTTAAAAAAACTCCTTTATACCATTTCACCTTGCTAAGCCATCTTAACTATTGCTTTTATCCAAGCAGCACCCCATCAGAATAGCATGATTATCTTCTCTCTCTTTTTCTAAATAACAAGGCCAACACAATGGATTTTAAATAATGACCAAGGATTTTTTTTATTCATTAAGTTTCAGTATCATTACAGAAAATGTTATGGTACAGAGTTGTTTAACATTGTTTTTTCTTTGCTCTTGATTTCCACATGAATGCTGGTAACACTAATATCTGTACAAGATCAGTCTTTGATTTTATTTTTTGTTCTGTACAATTTTAAATGTATTGGTTAAAAAGGCTGTCAGCACTTAAGGAAGCATTTTCCCCCCCAGTTTGTTTGTTCAAATAAAAGGTATCCAGTTACTGCCCAAGAGTACTGTGCCACGAGGCTACTGGGATGAGAGCTGCTCCTCCCCCGAGGCTCTGCGCCGATGGCTCTCCCGGAGGCCGGGCAGGGCCGCCACCCAGTCACTCTCTGCTTGGCACTGTGCACATAAACACGATACATGATCAAGAACAAGCGGAAGCTCTCTGTAAAGCAGTTATGAAGCATACTAAGAAGGGAAATCCAAGTGTTGCCTACGCTAGTATAAATAAGCAGACAGCCTTGATTTAAGAGCATAAGTAGTTGTATTTTAAAGATGAGAAAAACACAAGTTCTGCAGGCACCTACTGCTGTCTACTAAAAGCTATCGCTATCAGACCTAGCATTGAACACACAAAGCAATTTGCAAGAAAGGAAAAATTTGCTTTGATATAATCAGAATAGAGTTGTCTGTTAAGAGTTATTTTTAGGTGTTTTTTTCTTTAAAAGGTATTTAAATTCTTTTGAAATATAGTTCAAGATGTTGACTATACAGATCAACTTTTATCCAAATCAGAAAAACTAGCTGTGCCGCTGCATATTACAGGATACAGTCGATGATATGTGGACATGCATCAGGGCTTTCTCCCACCGGCGACCATCATAGCCGCCCGATGACCATGACGTCCACCACCTCGCCCTTGTGGAGCTCCACGTACTGCTCTGTCTTTGGAGGAAGCATCAATAAACCGTTGGCGCTGCGCATGCTCATCAGACGGCTGCTCATCTGATTACCTAGGAGGAAATACCTTATTACAGCGGCAGCAGCATCACAGTGTATGCACAGGGAGCCTTTGTAGTTCTTCTCAAAATAAAAACTGATGAACAGAAACACAGGTCTTCAAGAGGAAGAAAGATGATCAGACTTCCCGTATCTTTTTCAGGTGACCTAGCTACTGTATCGTACTATCTTCTCACTGAACTTTAAAAAATAAACATTAAAATTATTGTTTAAGAGAATGAAACCAAAATTTTTACAGCACTATGGAAAATGCCATTGAATTTCTCAATTCAGGGTAACGTGTGATGTGTGTCTAAAGAGAGGTTTTTAAAACCTATTAAAATAATTATGATAACAACAGCAGTGGCTACCATTTCTTTTGTATTCACTTAAGTACCAGACAAGATGGTAGGCATTTTACTCAACTACTTTATTTAATTCTCGACACCTCAAAAAGAGGTTAGGTAACTTGCCTATGGTCCTACTAACTAGTTGGTGGCCAATTTGCAAGCAATCTCTGATGGCAAAGCCCATGTACTTACTCACTGTGCTAATTGATATTTGCACTTAATAGGATCTTTGTTTAAATTTTTTCTGGAATTGCATCAAAAGTCAGGTAAAATATGACTAGAGAAGTTGGGGATAAAAATTTAAAGTCTATATCAGGTAACTACAGAACTCAATTATCCAAGTTGATTTCTGAGTCCTTAGAGAGAATCACACTCTAATTGGGTTTTAATGTCACATTTTAGGGTGGCATAGCCACAGTCCCCTCCTTTTCCTAAAACCAAAGTTATGCTTAGAATTTACTGGTTGAATAAAGAGATAAAAATCTTCTGTAATTCTAGATTTGTATTTCAAACGTTTGTCTAGAAATACAGTTTCAAGGCATAACTAAACAATAATTAGTCTTCTTTACTCTTGCCCTGTTATGTCTCACTGTTTAGGAATAACTTAACATCTAATCTCTCAGAAGGGAAAATGTACAATAATTACAAAATTAGGTATACTCAAGGAAGGAGGTTATACACAAATTTGTGTTCTAACAGAAGGGGTGCAAAGAGATACCTGCAGGTGTGAAGGACTAACCTGTACTCTGTGCCCAAGGGAGTGGCTCTTGGTGATGCCAAGTCAGTATACACCGGTGGTATTCTGGGCGAGGATCCAGCTTTACATCACATGATAACTACAGAAAAAAGAGGAAAGGAAAACAAACTCAATCACTCTTAAACTTGATCATTTCTTAAAACTATAGGGTGGTGGTGGTCATGCAAAGAGTGCATCATGGACAGGGAAATATCCTGGCATTCTGCTGTCTCCACCACTGCCACCTTAGGTTCTTAATACAGGAAGTCCAGAGGTTGGGTTGCTCTGATAAAAAGAGAAAAGGAGGCTAAGAAGTTGGTATTTGCAGTAGGGAAAAGGGTAGATGAAAAATACAAAATCTACTTTTGAAGTCTAATTTGATCTATGAATTGAGAAATTAAGGCAGATATTTTAACACTGAGAGTAAAGGAGGTAGACCTCAACAAACAAGCTCAATATACATTTATCTCCCCATCCCTTTGTCCATCTATCCATCCATCCATCCAGCAAACAGATTTACTGCAGTGCTAATTTAGCAACTCATTCATATACTTATCTTTAATATAAAAGTGACAGTTACTTTCTTTCATTTTTTAGATTTTCATTGGAGTACAACTGATTTACAATGTTGTGTTAGTTTCAGGTGTAAAACAGAACAAATCAGTTACACACATATAGACTCATTTTTAGATTTGTTTCCACGCAGGCCATTAGAGAGTATGGAGTAGAGTTCCCTGTGCTCTACCATAGGTCCCTGTTAGTTATCTATCTTACATATGCTAGATACACAGTGGTGTGTAGGTCATCCTCATCTTCCAGTTCATCCCTTCCCTATCCTTCCTCTCTGGTGGGCTTCCCTGGTGGTTCACTGGTAAAGACCCTGCCTGCCAAGGCAGGAGACGTGGGTTTGATCCCTGGGCTGGGAAGATTCCTTGCAGAAGAAGTGGCAACTCACGCCAGTATTCTTGCCTGGGAAATCCCACGGACAGAGGTGGCAAAAGAGGTGGATACCACTTAGCAACTAAACAACAACACAACCTCCTTACTCCCTGGTAATCATAAGTTTGCTTCCTACATCTGTAAGTCTATTTATGTTTTGTAGGTAAGTTCATTTGTACTTTTTTAAGGTTCCACACATAAGTGATATCATGATATTTGTCTTCCTCTGTCTGACTTACTTCACTCAGTGTGATAACCTATAGGTTTATCCATGTTGCTGCAAATGGTGTCATTCCATTCTTTTTTATGAATGAGTAATATTTCATAGTGTATTAAAAAGCAGAGACATTACTTTGCCAACAAAGGTCCATATAGTCAAAGCTATGGTTTTTCCAGTAGTCACATATGGATGTGAGATTTGGACCATAAAGAAGGCTGAGTGCAGAAAAATTGATGTTTCTGAACTGTGGTGTTGGAGAAGACTCTTGAGAGTCCCTTGGGCTGCAAGATCAAACCAGTCCATCCTAAAGGAGATCAGTCCTGAATATTCACTGGAAGGACTGATGCTGAAGCTGAAGCTCCAATACTTTGGCTACCTGACGTGACTAATTAGAAAAGACCCTGATGCTGGGAAAGATAGAAGGCAGGAGAAGAAGGGGGTGATAGAGGATGAGATAGTTGGATGGCAAACTGACTCAATGGACATGAGTTAGAGCAAGCTCTGGGAGATGGACAGGGAGGCCTGGTGTGCTGCAGTCCACGGAGTTGCAAAGGGTCGCACACGACTGAGTGACTGAACAACAACAACTATTGTAATTAGGCTTTCTCTTTGGAATCTAGACTAAAATTCAATTAAAGGGTGTTTCTCCTTAATTAAATCACACTCAACTCTTTCATGTGACATTACTTATGTTTATACCCTATTTCGTATCTACTGTGGGGGATAACTTGCCCCTGTTCCTAATTTATTCTGTGCTTACCTGAGGACAAAAATCTCTGTCTTTCGACCTCTCCCCATGGGTATGTGTGTTTTCCAGTTCTAGGCCATAAAAACTATCACACGGTCGTGCCATTTGCTACATGTTTGAGCTTTTCCCCAGCACTGGCGCTGACTGGCTCACTGCAGTGCAGTGCAGCAAACACTAGACTGTGAAGATACCAGCACCTAGGTTCTACTCCCAGCCTTACTGTTAACTGGTATGCTGAACTCGAAAGTTATTTTGCTTCCCCATACCTGTTTATTCATCTACAAAATGGGATTGTTTGTGTTTTTTTTTTTTTTTTTTGGGTGTGTGCTTTTTTTTTTTTTCATTTATTTTTATTAGTTGGAGGCTAATTACTTTACATCATTGTAGTGGTTTTTGTCATACACTGAAATGAATTAGCCATGGATTTACATGTATTCCCCATCCCGGTCCCCGCTCCCACCTCCCTCTCCACCCAATCCCTCTGGGTCTTCCCAGTGCACCAGGCCCGAGCACTTGTCTCATGCACCCAACCTGGGCTGGTGATCTGTTTCACCCTAGATAATATACGTGTTTCGATGCTGTTCTCTTGAAACATCCCACCCTCGCCTTCTCCCAGAGTCCACAAGTCTGTTCTATACATAGGAGTCTCTTTTTCTGTTTTGCACATAGGGTTATCGTTACCATCTTTCTAAATTCCATATATATGTGTTAGTATACTGTATTGGTCTTTATCTTTCTGGCTTACTTCGCTCTGTATAATGGGCTCCAGTTTCATCCATCTCATTAGAACTGATTCAAATGAATTCTTTTTAATGGCTGAGTAATATTCCATGGTGTATATGTACCACAGCTTCCTCATCCATTGGTCTGCTGATGGGCATCTAGGTTGGGATTGTTTGTTTTAAAGGAGTATATTTATGTTAATTTAATGAATAAGAACTGCATCAATTTGAAGTGAATGAATTTTTTTCACAGCCTCACAAAGAGCTGTTCCTTTTGTAGCAAGACATGAAGCTAATCAGGGTTTTGTGGTATTTTACTGAAATGCAGAATACTTTATTCACTAATATATTTAGTTGTACTGACATTATAATTCTGGTATATTACATCCCTTAGCTTAAGAAAGCACCTTATTCACTAATATATTTAGTTGTACTGACATTATAATTCTGGTATATTACATCAGTTAGCTTAAGAAAGCACCTATTTACCATGAACATCAGTGCTTAAAATAATGATGTACCATGATGTACCATGGTACATACATAATAATGATGTACCATATATATTTAGGTGGAAGAACATTGCAAATTGTGGATGTTTTACTTTTTTTCCACTCATTCAAAATTGGGCAGTGAGCTATGGACTAGGAGTCCTCTGCTTCTTTTGAGTATTTTTCTGGCACATAGCAGTCACTCAAGAGATAAAATTGTATTATTTGGTGTGGTATTATATGGTATGCTCTACATGTAAATATCTAATGGAGAGAATTAGAAAAGGAAAAAAAGAAAGGTCAATGAAGTGAGATGAAAAGTCACAGACTGGGAGAAGACACTTGTACAAAGCATGCCTGATAAAGACCTGTTATCCAAAATAAACAAACAATTCTTAAAACTCAACAGTAAGAACATGAACAATCCAATTAAAAACTGGGCAAAAGAACTGAGCACTATATCAGTGAACATACATATATGAAAAGTAAGCATATGAAAAATGTTCAACATCATACAGGGAACTGCAAATTAAAACAACAATGAGATATCACTAGATATCTACTAGAAAGGCCAAAAATCCAAAACACTGGCCACACCAAATCCTATTGAGAATGTGGAAGAACAGGGACTCATCGCTGGGGCAGGAATGCAAAATGGTACAGCTACTTTGGAAGACATTTTGGCATTTCTTACAAAACTAGATATATCTTATCATACAATCCAGTAATCACATTCCTTAACTTAGTATTTACCCAAGTGAACTGAAAGTTTATGTTCATACAAAAACTTGCACACAAATATGTTTAGCAGCTTTATTCATAATTGCCCAAATTGGAAGCAACAAAGATGCCCTTCAGTAGGTGAGTGGATAAATGGTGGCATATCCAGAGAAAGGAATATTATTCTGTGCTAAAAAGAAATGAAAAGATGAAATGACTTTTCATCTAGCTATGAAAAGTCATGAAGGGAACTTAAATTCATATTACTAAGTGAAAGAAGACAGTTTGAAAAGGTTACATACTGCATGATTCCAAAAATATGATCTTCTGGAAAAGGCAAAGCTATGGAGACAGTAAAAAGACCAAGGGTTAGTAGGGAGGGAGGAACGAACAGGCAGAGTGCAGAGGGTTTGGGGCTGTGAAAGTGTATGACACTGCCGTGGTGCATGATAGGTGCTAAGGCGCTCGTCGTGTCTGACTGTGGCCCTATGGACTGTAGCCTGCCAGGTTCCTCTGTCCATAGGATTCTCTAGGCAAGAATACTGGAGTGGGTTGTTATGCCCTCCTCCAGGGGATCTTCCCTACCCAGGGGTCAATACATGTTAATTGTACATTTATCAAGACCAGTGGAATACACAACAGCAAGAGTAAACCCTAATGTCGACTATAGACTTTGGGGGATAATGAATATGTCACTGTAGGTTCACTGATTGTAACAAATGTACCACTGTGGTACAGGATGTCAACAGTCGGGGAGATTGTGTGTGTGTATGGGGCGGGGAGGAGAATTAATACAGGAACTCTCTGTACGTTCTGCTTAATTTTGCTGTGAACCTGGATGTGCTATAAAAAACAAAATTTGTTAACTAAAAAAGGGGAGAATATTTTGTCCTTCCTCTTTGTCCTGTCCATCTTTTAGAGAAGTGACCTTGAAGAATTATCTAGCATCAGTTCAGTTCAGTTGCTCAGTCTGTCTGACTCTGTGTGACCCCAGAATCATAGCACGTCAGGCCTCCCTGTCCATCACCAATTCCTAGAATTTACTCAAACTCAAGTCCATCAAGTTGGTGATGCCATCCAGCCATTTCATCTTTTGTCATCCCCTTCTCCTCCTGCCCCCAATCCCTCCCAGCATCAGGGTCTTTTCCAATGAGTCAGCTCTTCGCATCAGGTGGCCGAAGTATTGGAGTTTCAGCTTCAACATCAGTCCTTCCAAAGGACATTCAGGACTGACTTCCTTTAGGATGGACTGGTTTGATCTCCTTGCAGTCCAAGGGACTCTCAAGAGTCTTCTCCAACACCACAGTTCAAAAGCATCAATTCTTTGGCGCTCAGCTTTCTTCACATCAATTTTCACATCAACTTCACATCAGCTTTCTTCATCAACTCTCACATCCATACATGACTGCTGGAAAAACTATAGCCTTGACTAGACGGACCTTTGTTGGCAAAGTAATGTCTCTGCTTTTTAATATGCTATCTAGGTTGGTCATAACTTTCCTTCCAAGGAATAAGCGTCTTTTAATTTCATGGCTTCAATCACCATCTGCAGTGATTTTGGAGCCCCCCCAAAATAAAGTCTGTCACTGTTTCCACTGTTTCCCCATCTATTTGCCATGAAGTGATGGGACCAGATGCCATGATCTTAGTTTTCTGAATGTTGAGCTTTAAGCCAACTTTTATACTCTCCTCTTTCACTTTCATTAAGAGGCTTTTTAGTTCCTCTTCACTTTCTGCCATAAGGGTGGTGTCATCTGCATATCTGAGGTTATTGATATTTCTCCCGGCAATCTTGATTCCAGCTTGTGCTTCTTCCAGCCCAGCGTTTCTCATGATGTACTCTGCATATAAGTTAAATAAGCAGGGTGATAATATACAGCTTTGATGTATTCCTTTTCCTATTTGGAACCAGCCTGTTGTTCCATGTCCGGTTCTAAATATAGTGTAATAATGTTGTTATGGAGTCATTTATATGGTATAAAAGGGCACAAAGAAGTAAATAATCAGCCTTCTTCCGGACACTGGGAAAGGATTCACAGAGGGCATGATGATGCCTGAGTCTTATGACAAAGGAATTTTCTAAGCTGAGAAAAGAGAAGGTGGTGGTTAGGGGAGAACCTCCTAGGAAGGCGATCTCATGCTCATCCTGGAGGCAGTAAAAAGCTTGGTATGGTCAGAATGCAGGATGGGAAGCAGGTAACACTGGAGGGAAAACAGGCCTTGGGATGGAGGGCCTCCTATGCTCACTTGAGTGTCTGAATTTAACCCTGGGGTCATGGGAAGCATTGAATAATTTTAATTGGAGGTGCTGACAATGATTAGTTAGAAAGAAAAGGGATTTAAAAGGAAGCAAGATTAGAGGAAGAGAAACCATCAAATGTTGGTGCCATTATTCAAATCAGGCTTATTTGGCTACAAAACACAGGGGATGTGGATGGTGGAAGGGACGTTAGGAGAATGGTGAAGATCTGGAAGGCTGGAGTAAGGAATGGAAAAAGCTGATCCACAAGATATACCAAGGTTCTTCAAGGGTAATTTTGGCCCCTCCTGAGATTTGTAAATTGGAAGTGATAACTCGAACAGATGTACACTCTTCTCCAGTTGTACTCAGTGCCCTGGGAATAAAAGTGAAGGACAAAAAAGGGAAAACTGATTCAACTTTGTGGGTTCTTAGAGTGATTGTAGTAGAAGGAAGGAAAGGCAAAAAAAAAAAAAAATTGAGGGTGTTAGAAAAAGTTGAAGTGATTCACTATAGGATTTAGGCTGGATGAGAAAAAGGGTTAAAGCCAGAAGGGGCTTATGGACCGAGGAAAAAGGGTGCGGTGTTTAAATTCTTTTATATCTACTGGTAGGTAACTTGTCATTGTTCTTGAACTGTATACCAGAGTTGGTGAGTTTTGAGATGGAGCACTTAATGGCATTGAAAAGGACAGAAATGTGAGCAGCTGAAGCAAAAATAAAATTATCAAGAATTATGGAAATAAAGCAACTGATGAAAAGAAGGCACAAAAGAAGACTTTTAGACAACTGCCAAAACCTAAATGTGTTTGGAATGTTTGCTGGTGATAATATGGGAAGGTAAAAGCTCCAAGAGACTCAGGGGAGAGGCTGGACTAATTGCTGCATGGACTGGAGAAGAGAGTTTCTGAGAAAACAGATGACAAAAGGGGATTCTCTTTGAGTGGAGGCCCCAGATGACATGCTCTAGGCCCTGGTTGATTTTGAGGACCTGGACTCTGTTTGAGTCCTGTCAAAGCTCCCAAAGAGTGGTTTAAAAGGAGCTTGACACTAACTCTTAAAAGTACAGAGAAGTTATAAGCACTGATTTCATTAGTCTAAAAGAGAGGGGCTTGAGCTCATTTGCCCCACAAATCATCTGAAATTTATCACATAACATTAAAATTCTTATGCATGCTGGTACAGATCAATTTCAACTTCATTTTCCCAAAGTTTCTATAATCTAGTTATAATTTTCATCTCCTAGTAATAATAAAACTGGCTTACACTTCTTATAAATCATAAACAGTTCTATAATTTTCAATATCTGTTTTAAATCAGTCTATAGGCCATAATATTCTCACATAAACAGGCATTCAATTATATCTTGTGATGATCAATGACTAATCTTTTTTAAAAGCTGAATAATGTTCCATTGTACACATATACATCATTTTCCTTATCTATTCATTTGTTGTTTGAAATTTGGGTTGCTTCCTTATCTTTGTGATAGAGGACAATGCTACAACAGATGGTGGGGTGCACATATCTCTTTGAGATCCTGATTTCAATTCTTTTGGACATATATCCAAAAGTGAGATTGTTGGATCATATGGTAGTTTTACTTTTAAGTTTTGAGGAAACTCCATACTGTTTCCCATGAGGCAACATGGATATTCCTAGAGGACACCATACCAAGTGAAATAAGCCAGTTACAAAAGTACTGCGAGATTCCACTTACAGGAAGTATCTAAAAGAGTGAGACTCACAGAGGCGAAGGACAGAACAGTGGTTGTCAGGAGCTGAGGGATGGAGGAAATGGGGGATTGTTGCTCAATGGATATACAGTTTCTGTCATGCAAGGCGAATTAGTTCTAAGGCATCTGCTGTACAGTGTATTACCTACAGTTATGTGGTACTGTGCATTTTAAAATACTTTAAGAGGATAGTTTTCACATTAAATGCTCTTACCATGAAACAAACAAATCAAAGAACACAAGGGGATTTCTGGAGGTGATGGACGTTGTTTACTACCTTGACTGTGGTGATGGTATCATGGGTGTTTGTGTTTATCCAAATTTTTCAAAATGTCTACATTAAATATGTGTAATTTGTGTATATAAATTATACCTCAGTAAATCTTAAAGAAAAGCACTGGCTGAGTATTAGTTTAAATTGCCAGGAAAATTGTTCACTAGTTACACAGAAACTATATTACATAGTTAGTTGACTAGCAGTAAACCAAGCTGAAGTTAGTGCGGTGAGAAGGGGACTGTAATTTCTGAGTGACTTTTACTGCAGGTCTAACTCCTCAGTCTTAGTAGTCCCTTTCCAAACAATATGGTCACCCTTTCCTTTCCTTCTGTTTCCTTCTGTCTCTTTCTGGTCCTTTACTTGTCTTTTTCTCAACTGTTTAAAATTGATCAGTGGGGTCACAGAAAAAGTGATCAAATAAATTGCTATTCTCTGTAAGTTTACCTAGGGAAAAGGGACTTTTTATCCCTCTTTCCATAGGGTTTAGTATTAGTTTAGTGTTCTATTGACCATTTTGTCATTACGTATCCATTCCTAAATGGACTTCTGGCTGAAGAAAATTATTCCCTTTAGGAGTCCTGGAATAATGTGGGAAGGGAATAAAGGGGACTCCTTTCCCTTTGTTTTCTTTCATGAAAAGAGGAATATAATCACATTTTCCCTCACAATTGACTCAATGGACATGAGTTTGAGCAGGCTCTGGGAGATGGTGAAGGACAGGGAAGCCTGGCGTGCTACAGAGGGTCGCGCAGAGTAGGACCTGGCTGAGTGACTGAATAGCAACAATAGAAAATTCTAGATGTTTGTTTCGGGCAGTTAAAAAGTCATATCCTTATTTGTTATCAGGCTTCAGTTTTGGTTTCTGGTCATTAGAAAACGTTACCCTGGCTTTGATGATGGTTGGCCGAGGATCCAAGATGCCTTGCATCTTTCTCAGTGCAGGCACAACAAAGAGATTGCAGGTGACCACGGCTGACACAGGATTCCCTGGAAGTCAACCAAGCAGTTATTTATAGTACACACATAGAAATCTGCCAGAAAATCATGAATGTCTATACCTTCAGCTATCAAAGGGAATGAAGTGACAAACCACTAGCCTTCCTCTTTTGAATCACCTTGAATCCAAAAGGATGCCAGAATAGAGCTAGACTCAACCAAATGGCACAGGGTGTGTAAACATTTGGATCTACCAGTGAAACGCAGCCTTCTGATGCACAGAAGCTGCTGAACACCATTTATGTTTGCTTTCCTGAGAGCCATACACTGACGCCCTTACTAATCAGTTTGGACTTGCTATTTTTAAAATGGCATAAAATTACCTAGTAACACATACTCAGTGCGAAAAAATATTAGCAAGTAGGATAAGCATAAAGAAATTTATCCATAATCCTCCCTACTCAGACATTTCTTTAAATTAAAAAATATAAAACTAAATGACTTAAAATGTGAAGGATTTGAAGGTGAATACTGTTAGGAACTGAATTATGTCTCCCTCAAATTCGTATGTTGAAGTCTTAACCCTCCAGTGTGACTGTATTTGGAGATAGGACTGTTAAAGAAGTCACCAAGTTAAGCGGGCTGCCCATGTGGTGCCCGTGGTAAAGAACCCCCCTGCCAATGCCGGAGAGGACAGAGGCACAGGTTCAGTCCCTGGGCGGGGAAGACCTCCTGCAGAAGGACATGGGACGCCACTCCAGTACTCTTGCCTGGAGAATCCCATGGACGGAGGGAGCCCGGTGGGCTACAGTCCATAGGGTCGCAAACAGTCGGACACAACTAAAGCAACTTAGCATGCATGCGAAGTTCAACGAGGTTGTAAGGGTGAGGTTCTAATCCAGTAGGACTGGTGTCCTCATAAAAAGAAAAACAAACATGAGGAGTGTACACAGAAGAAAAGGTCATGTGGAGGGGTTGGGAGAAAGTGGCCACTTGCAAGCAAGGGAGAAAGATCTCAACAGAAACCAACTGAGCTGGCGCCTTGAGCTTAGACTTCTAGTCTCCAGAACTGTGAGAAAATAAATTTCTGTTGTTTAAGCTACCCAGTCGGGGATATTCTGCTTTGGCAGCTTGAGCAGAATAATACAAATGCCAAGTTCTTTTACAGTTAAAAGAAAAATTTGAGGAATTCAATTGTACCTCTCCAAGAAGAAATCTGGGCATGTCATGCACTTCAAAGGCAGGTAGGGTGAGCTATGAAAAAATGATTGAGCTGAGAATAACAGATTTAGTTTCTTGTGTGGTATTGTTAACTAACAAAGCTGCGTGACCCTGGCAAGAGTTCCAAACCCTTCTAGGTCTAACTTTACTTAATCACAAAATTAAAAGTTTGGATGATATAAGTCTCAATATCCCTGTTGGTTCTAAAATTATAATTTTACTAATACTTTTATACAGTGATATGTGACTGTGTGTGTGTGTGTGTGTGTGTGTGTGTGTGTATAGTGGGGGTAGGGAATGGCTTGTGCTTTTAGATTCCGTTGGCCTGGTTATGTGATGCTAATTTCATCATCAAAATAAAAGGCAATGGCTGGTTTGGCCTATTACTAGCTAAAACCATACCTTTAATTTTCTTCTACCTACAAAAGCAGTTAAAAAGAGATCTTTTTAAAGTTGTAAAGTGATGAGTGACACAATTATTTCAGTAGAAAAGTTATTCCATAGGATAGCAGACTCCTAGGGACAATTGACTGCTTTATTCTTGAATCAAAATGTAAACAGATGGAAATTTTCCTGGGAAAGCAAAAAAAAAGAAAAGGAGAAAAAAAAAAAGAAAAAAAGCTCAACAATGATTACAGTACTCCTGTAATGCTACTGCTTGATAAAATTACTCCATAAAAAATGAATTGCTCGATGTAAAAAAAAAAAAAAGAGACTGGAAGAACCAACACCAAAAATCTGAAAATAGTGGTTATTTTGGGTGAGGGAGATTATGGATAACATTTCTTATTGCTTATCTAAGTTATTTTCTAATGTTCTACAGTGAACACATGTTACTAGAAAAAGTAAAAAAAAAAGAACAAGTAGATACACAAGACTTTTAAACTGCTTTAGAACTTATCAAGATTAGTAATGGCTTTAAATGAAGCACTTTAAATGAGCAAAATCCAATTCTGAGTTTTCAAATCCTTGTAAAAAGAACCACTTTGCTGGTTTTACAATCTGAACATGTGAATTGTTGCTGCCCTCTTTTGGTACCTTCAGGCTGAGCATAGAAAATCTCAGAGGAGCAATTTGAAAAGCAGGCTATTTAACTGTAACTTCTTTGGCAGATAAACAACACTTTGTTAGTAATGGCAAAACAGGCTCCCACTAAAACCTACTTCATAGGTCAAGTCATATCTTCTGTAGACAACATAAACAGTCTCTTCCAAGCAAAATGAAGCTAGAAAGAGGTTATCCTTTCTCTATATAATGGTGTTCAGAGTATCTAGGGATATTAAAGGCCTTAACGTGTCTTATACCACAGATAAATTTTGAGAACTAAAAGTTTACTTACATGTCTTCTCTCTTAATATGATAGAAATCAAACCTCTTTTATGCTTATAGACAAGGGGCTTTAAAAATGTTTTTAAAGTTCTAAAATTTTTTGCCTGCCTTTTCTTTCTTTCTCTATTTTGAGATTTATTAACTATAAAAAAGCAAATAAGCAACCCAAAGCCCCCAGACTTGTACATCTGAAAGGAATAAGCAGGTTATTTTCTGAAGGAATCTATGCCAAAAAATAGAGAATGGAACATTGCTTACAGATCAGAGGATAATTTTAGAAGTTGAAAAAATAACAAGTAAATGCAATGTTGTATTTCTTTTGTTGTTGTTGTTCTAGTATCTGCAGGGGTGATTCAAGGCCCTTTGAGCACAATACTCTAGTTGCGGGAGATGATTATACTGTTAACTTTGACCAGTGCCCTGTACGTGCCCCAGAAAGATGTAGTAACAGGTAACGCTTATCATCTTAGGGTCTGAATTGTGCTTTGAAAGGTACTATCTAATTTGACTTTTGCACAAGCCCTATGAAGCACATATTTGCCTCATTTTATAGATGAAGAAATAGCCTCAGAGAGATTATGTGATTTGTTCAAGGTAATACAGTATGCAAGGCTGGGGCTTGAGCCCAGGTCTTTCAGATTCCAAATCATGTGCTCTGATAGGGGACTGGTCACCTGGGGCACAAAAAGATTTTGGTATTTTTCCAGAAAAAGCAAAAGAAAGTATTTAAGTAATTCTTACCTGGTAGTGCAAAGATTATTTTTCTTACACCATCAATATCCAAAGTTGCAAATGTTGTTGGCAGGCTAGAGGAAAAAACAGGATATTTGTTAGTGACTGCTAAGCAATGAGTAAATTAAACACTGCAGTTTTCTTGTTATATGGTTCTTCATACAGATCACTTACTCTCTAAAAATACTTTTCTGTTGACTCTCCTTTAAACCTTTATAACCTGCAGTGAAGCACAATTAAATTAATTTGTTTTTAGCATCTTCTGTTTTTACTTCCTGGTTTTCTGTAGTTTAGTTTCCTTCTTGCCAGTGTCAAAGAAGTGTATCCCAAACCCCAGTTTCTCTAGCCCTTTACTTTAACAATTTCTAATGCGTTTATTTCCTGCTGACCAGTAACAATCATTCTTTTCATCAGATGACTATCTGGTAAGACATGTCTATCAGATAACCGCCTATTGCTGAAGATGAGTATTTCTCAGCCCTTTAAGACTATACTCAGCAATAAACATAAAAGCTTCCCTCCTATGAAGGGAATGTTTTGAAACATCAAAATGAAATATCATGACTAGAACAAAATTAAAGCAATAATAATTAAAAAAATTTTTTTAACTAATTTATTTTAATTGGAGCCTGATTACTTTACAATATTGTGGTGGTTTTTGCCATACACTGACATGAATCAGCCACGGGTGTACGTGTGTCCCCTGTCCTGAAACCCCTTCCCACCTCCCTCCCCATCCCATCCCTCTGGGTTGTCCCAGTGCATCGGCTTTGAGTGCCCTTAAAGCAACAATAATTTTAAAATATTTTCAAATTATATTTCCTTATGGGTCTGACAGGAATCCTCATCACGGGGGTTTGGAGATGGGTGTGAGTGGCATGAAGGGGGCAGGTGGTAAATAAGAGTGATTTTTTTTTTTATCGACTACTCTTCACACACAATCTCAGCTAAAATTTTTTATTATATAAATGAAACTTGAATGATGCAAAATTCTTAGGGAATGCTGAAATTTCCACATAACTAAAATAACTACCCAAACTGTTTTCCTTTTTACTATTTTCACTGATAGGCTGAATGAGAAAAGGATCACTCACGCATAACCTTTTGCAGTAATACGATGAACATTAACATTTTTGATGAATCGCAGCCATCATTATTAACCAATTCTGCTCTGCTACGATACAGTGATATTGGGTTACCAGAGTATTAAACCATAACACGACAGCATACGCTGCAGTGTTTCTACAGTTCTTGCTTCTGCTTTTTCTCCCCCTAGTGTTTTATTTTTCTGGGGTCCCCTTCATATGAGACTGCCATCATCTCGACTCTTAAAGCTAGCCTTAGGTTTGGGAAACAGAGAGTAGTAATAGTTACATTTTTAGAATGATAACAATGATAATAATAATAATAATAATAGAAACTACCACTTTTAAAGAAACATCTAAGCATTATATCCATTACTTCATTTAAATCTTACAAAAATCCTATGAGGTGACAATTATTACTCCATTTTATAGATGATGAAAATGAGACTCAAGAGATTAAGGGATTTAACCAAAATCACTCAGATATAAAATGGGGAAACAAAGATTTGAACCAAGGTTTTTCTAACATTATGGTTCATAATTAGATAAGGCTCTCATAGGGTATGCTGTAAAGTGTTACTATACTGGTTTCCTAACATCTATTTTTGGCTACTGAGGCCTTTTTTGCTTACTTCCTGATTCTTTGATGTATTTTAGAAAACAAAGAGTAGACTGTCTTATCTATTTATAGATATGTTATTTGGCAATTATTGTTACTGTGTGATGAAAATAATTTCCAAGGTACATTTTGACAACAGCTATGTTCACTGCAGATGACCCATAAAAATTGTGATTGGTAGATCTGGTTGATAATATTCCAAATGCTTTTTGAGTATATCTTTGTCTAAAATGAAAGAGGTTAATTGCATTCTGAATGCACTGTATGTGGGAAGAGCAAAGCTAAATTGTTCTTCAGCTTTTTATATTTCTTCTTGCTACTACTAAGTAGCAATTACTTTAAATTCTTATCTTCAGGCAAGTATAAAATTCTGGCCAATTAAAGGAAGCCCATTTAAAGTTCTAAACCACTTTTTTATAGCAAACTAAAACATATACTAAGAGTGAGGAGGGAATACATGACACCTTCCCTCTATGTATTTAAAGCTAATTTAAGTCATCTTTTGAATCTTGCAGACAGGTACAGTGATTTCTCTAAAGATACTCATTTTAAAAAGATTCTATTATGATAAAACATTTTGTAATTGTGCACTGCTATCATGATTGTCTTATTGCTAGACTGTGAAGTTTCTGTTTAGGATCTGGAAAGCTATTTCCTTAAAACTCAACACCTGTTGTTCCTTTTCCCTCTTGAGATCAGAATGTAACAGCTTTCAGACTTTAAGGGAGGAGAATAAATAGTAGGAACTGATGAACTCCTATAGCTGAAGTGAATGGTAATAACAGATTAAAAATAAAATGAGTACTTATTATATATCATAGGTGCTGAGGTTAATTTAAATAATAGATATTACACAAATACTTCTCCCCTAGAGGTGAGGGCAAGTAATGTCAGCTTCTTTCTCACTGCAGAGAAATAATCAATTCAATTTTTGCTGATAGTGAGAAGTACATTGACATACTCATGGGATGTTCTCTGAATTCTAATCAAATTAGTACTGCCAATGGGGACAGGAATTTTAAAAAGTCTGTCTGTACTCATAGCATAAAGATATTTGCTTAAGACAAAATATTCTTAGTAAGAACGATCCCAATCCAACAGCTTCAATAGTAAAAAGGCCCTGTCAGTGGCGGCCATATTGGAGCAACTACAGAAATACAACACCAAGAATTCTGAATTCTATTAGATTGTGGAAAGGCTTTAGGGGTTATCTTAACTTGATATTTAAATATAAAGCCCAAACTCTGTCTAGAACTGACATGAGGTGCCCAATAAATCAAGGAGATCAGGAGGGCTGGTTTGACACTTAAAAAAGGCTTCTTTCTAGAAATTTCTGCTATTTCCTGGCTATTTATGCTATTATGGCTCACTTGTAATAACTGGTAGCTCCCACCTCTACTCTCAGGGTTCACATGAGCACCCATCAGGGTATAACCCTGAACTAAAGCATCATCACTGTTGTCCCTGTTAGCATGGAGGTGTGCTGAAATGCTCACCCACACACTGAGGCCTTTCAACACTGTTTTTATAATGTTTATGTATCACAGACTTAGCAGCAGCAGTCTGAACAGACAGGCTGTTGCTTAAAGACAAGGCCACACATATTTTATCAACACCAGTGTTTGCATTCTTTGAGGATTTATAATGGATTACAAAACCTCCAGCCATTCCTCAGGGAGTTATTAATTTTTAGGAGATATGCAAGATCTAGGTATGTGTTTACTTTTCTTTCCTCTTTGGAGGTAGTAAGCATTTTGAAATACTATTCATGAAGTTTTCTTACAAAGAAAAAAACTGAATCTGAAAGTAATTAAACTTTTAGGTCTAACTTCTAGTGTACAGAATATATTGGAGAGAGAGAGAAACAAGTCAACCACCACCACAAGGAAGCAATCAGCCAAACCTATGCACAAGGACAAAGGATTCAGTTTTTGCAACAAGTCAATGGCATACCAAAAATGTGGGAGTGGGGGCGGGTATTAAATGTTCTTGTTTAATAGAGAGTCAACAACCAAACACATTGAGTAGACCTAACTCAAATCCTAATTCAAACAAAACATATATAAGAAGGCATACTCTTCCCTGACATTTGGGAGACTTCAAATATGATCGGGGGATTAGATGATATTCAGGTGTTCTTATTTATTTTTTTAGGTGAGATAATACCATTGTGAGTATATAAGATAATACTGCTGTTATTATTAATATTTGAGATGTATACTAAAATGCCATGTGTAGAATTTGTTTTAAAACAATCTAACCCTCTGTCCTCCCAAAAAGGTGAAGGAAGGGATTGATAAAACAATTAAGGAGAAATGTTGATAGTTACTGAAGCTGGGTTATGAGGTATAAGGGGTTTTGTTATACTCTCTGCTTTTGTGTATGTTTGAGAATTTTCATACTAAAATGTTTCTAAGTGAGAGAAAGCCAAAAAAGAGAAGGAAGGAACTAGACATGGGAATTAAAAAGAGAAAAGGTTTGGAAAGTTGCTTTGCTTCATTTTAAACCAGATCCAGTGTTTAATAAAGAAGATGAATTCCCATTTCAGATAGGATATATACTTTTTCAAAGAACTCTAATACTGTAACATTCCTTTATTAGAATAAATAATCCATAATAGAAAATGTAATAGGAAAGCATTTAAAAACTTTGTTAGTCAAAGCAAGCCAAAGCAACCCATATATTAGATAACAAGATTATATTCATACCCTGGTTTCATAAAAACCCTGCCAAAATGGATCTGGGCATGAAGATCAATGTCCAGCACCTGCTTGAGATAGTCCTGCAAATATGAAAAATAATCACTTTACTTTCAAACATTTTAATATCAGACTTTCAGACTTTTAAATGAAAAAAAAAAAGCATAAGATTGAAATGAAAAGAAACACCTATTTTAGTGAAGTTGATTTATGACAATTATTTCTTCATTCCTCATTCATTTATTCATTCAGTAAATATTTATCGAGTATAATATATGTATGCTGAATATCAATCAATATACAGGGAGATGCAGCCTTGAACAAAAGAGGCAATGTTCCTTCCCTCATAAAAAGAACGTTCCAATAGGAGTAGTTAGAGAGTAAACCAAATAACCACATTAACATACAAACTATTACTTGCTAGGCTGTTGTCTCTCTTTTAGGATAGAATTTTGTGTCTGAGAAAGTATGTTAATAAATATGGTTAAGAAGTTGTGCTTGGGCAGAGGAGCCACGTGTATGCATCCCATGCTGTTCTCTTTAATGAGCTTGAACTAATGCGCGTTCCTTGAGGAGAGACTTGGACATTTACCCAAGATTACCAAGTCTAAATAAGTCAACTAACAACTTAGGGAGGGAGCTCTAAACAGAAAGTCAAGGGCGTTTAATTGCTCCAACTTCATATTCTGCGACTACAAACACAACCAACCTAAGGTTATGATCAACCCAGAGCAAACCAACAAAACCTGATCTTCAGAAAGGAAAAGCAACAGTGCCTTGTAGTTGGTTTTGTAGATATAAAGAGAAAAATAGCAGTTCAAAACATTTCTCCAAAGTAATACAACTTTGTTGTATTTTCTGTAATGTAACTTTGTTGTATGTTACTGAGTTTCCTGCTCACTAATTCAAGAGAGTCTAGTATCCTGCTAAAATATTAAATATTTCACAAGTTATGAGACACTTTATTTTTAAAAACTATTTCCTTCTCTCCATCTCTACAGCCTCAGCCAACATCATCTCACCTGAATTACTGAAATAGGTCTCTCTGCCAATTCTCCAATTCATTCCCCCCGACAGTCGACAGTCGTGAGACAGACAAATCTGATCAAATCACTATGTAACACTTCAATAACTCCATTGTCTCCAGAAATAAGTCTCATCTTTTAAATGATCATAGTTAGGACTCTTATATTGATATTTTCTAGCCTCCTTTTGCAAATCATTGCTCTTATCAGGCAATCTGTTTCCCACCAGCCCCATTCTTCTTCCTCAATCTCTCTCAACATTTCTGCAAGTCTATATTGTTGCCAGTTTTCATACTTTCTTGCCTCAAATCTTTGAAAATATTCTCCCTTTTGTCTGGAATACCCTTTCTTCTGTCCTCCTCCCTCTATTCTCAATCTCAAATCTCCCCTGAATTCCCAGGGCTGGATGGTAGATTGATTACTGATTCATGATTATTTTTAGATTATATTATTAGATGAAATAATTTAGAATTTTCTTGATGAACTGAGCCATGTAAATTCAGGAATAGGAAATGTCCCTCCTCTTAATTTCTAGTAAGCCTTTTTACCTTAATTTTCTCTGATATCAAGACAGCCAACTAGCTGTTCTATAACTTTTTTCTCATATCTTACTTTCAAGTAGCTGTGTTCTTATATTTAAGGTGGGTCTCTTATGAACATCATACAATTTGTTGTTTTTTAAAATCTAGAATGACAGTTTTTAACTGGAGGACTCAGTCCTCTTATACTTAATATAATTACTGCAATGTATTTTTAATTTTATCCATCTGCCCTTATTTTTGGTTGTGCTGCGTCTCTGTTGCAGTGCCCGGGCTCTCTGGTTGCGGTGCACAGGCGGAGCAGTTGCCAGGTGTAGGCTTTGTCGCTCTGCAGCATGTGGACTCTTAGCTCCCCCACCAGGGACTGAGCCCACATCCTCCACATTGCACAGCACATTCTTAACCACTGGACCATCAAGAAGTCCCTTATTACTGCTATATTGGGATTTAAAACTATTTGCCTCCTATTCGTTAGTTATTTGTCACTTCTGTTTTTATTTCCTTTTTTCTCCTTTCATGTCTTCCTTTGATTTGCCAAAATTTTTTTGTTTTTTAATTTTCTTTCTCTTCTATTTGCTTGTTAGTAACACATTCTCTTATTGGTTGCTTCAGAGATCACAAAATGCATTCTTAACTTACTATAGTCCATCATGATCTGGTATTTTTTATCACTTCCCCAAAATGTAAGAACTTTAAAACATGTTCACTCTATTTATTCCTCTTTGCTTTTTGTGCTATCTATTATAAAGTCTATATATACTATACAGACAATATATAGTCTATATTTGGTATATATTTATACACATGTAAACCTCAAGATATTATTTCATATAATCAACAATTCATTTACAGTTACCTACATATTAACCTTTTCCTTTGCCCTCTAGTCCTTTCTAGCATTTTCATGCTTCCCTAATCTTTCTTTTACATAGCTTTCATAGTTGTTCTTGGTGGGAGAGTTGGTCCAAATAAGCCACTCCATCATAGTAGAGGCAGAAATCTCCAGGCCTTTCTTTTTTTTTTCTGGTACAAAAACCATGTATTATTCCCCCCCTCACAAAACTGGGTGGCTGTATTACAGGAACGAAACCAGATCAAAGACATAAAAAGAAAAAGTCACCACTTATACTGAAACACAACAGTGTTAAGAGTTCAGGTATTCTGTAGAATTATTACCAGCATAGTTAAAATATTTCCATCTGGATCTTTTAAATTTGAAAGTGATCACATTAAAGACCCGAGGTTGCAAGAGACTACAGTATGAACCAGAATTCCATTTTCCTTTAAAGACCTCAGTGGAAAAGGTATTTGGAATGAATTTCCTTTGGGAAAGACTGTCCAGGCCTTTCTTTTATGCTCTTATAATACCAAGTCGTCCTGACACCACACACTTAGGTAATACGGCAACTGCCTGATAACTATCTGTATTCTTTACTGTACTAGATAGTTTGTAAGAACAGGAACCTTGTATATATATTTATAATGAGTCCATAGTGACACACACATGCCTTTCATTCATTAATTTGCTAGTTCAACAAATATTTCTGAGTGCCCACTATGTATCAGGAATTCTATTTGTGTTAGAGACTCACTAATGAACCAGACAGACAAGGTCCCTGGCACAAAGATGTCCTGTTATAGTTTACTGCAGAGGGGAGACAGCCTAAAATAAGCAAACCAACAAATAGATTAACTATAAGATGTGGAACATACTCTGAATAAAAAAGCAGGTGCTAGGATAGAGAACAATGTGTGAAGTGGAGAATATGGAAAGACCACTTTAAAACAGGTGGTGAGGATGAGGAGGACTCAGTCATATGAAGTGTGGAGGGAATTCTTGGCAGAGAAAAGTATATACAAAAGCTTCTAGAGCAGTAAAAAGTGTGTCTAGAACTGAAAAGACAATAAAAGGTAGTGAATGAGCAGGGGAAAGGCATAAGGGGAGGCTGAAGAGACAGGCAGAGGCCATGCATGCAGGGCTCACTAAGGATAATGATACAGAGTTTGGAAAACCATATACACTCATTACATATTTGCTAAATGAATGAAAGTATTTTATTTTTCTTGAAAAAAAATCATCTCTGTTGTAAAAAATGCCCCCTTTCTTTTTGAACATGAAGAAATGCTTCATGTTACTTGTGACAGAAAGCTTGTACCAAACGTAGTAATGAAGGCTGAGAATCATCATTGGTCTTGTTTTTGTCTATCTACAGAAATAGCAAGGACCTCTGATGTTCTGAAAGCTAGATACACAGATATGAAGAGGAAACACAAATGAATGAAGGAGACTGGTCCTTCCCTCAACTTAAGCAAGAACAAACAATGTCAGAAAAATTGTGAAAGACTTTGAAATGGGTAAAAAAGATTATTTGAGGTCCAAATAACCTTCTGGGTTATTTGTGCCTTTCACTGTCTTTGAGCTATTCTACAAAAATTAGTCTGCAGAAAAATAATAGTGTGATAGTGAACATGATTAGCATCCAAAGAAATACAAATTAATTCTGTCAGTAGAGTTGTAATTGAGTATTCTCCTCCAGATATAGAACAATTTTACATCTATTAGAAAACTGATTTCAGCATTTTGGGTTACCTATCTGTGTCTGTGTTTTTTCAATTCTTAGAACCAGTTGTAATATCTTACTAGTTCCTTCACTAATTAATGAGTTAAATAAAATCTCTGACACAGGTTAATTTTATAAAATAAAATATATATTTATGAGATGCATGATTTTATCTTTAAAAAACTATACCTTAACGATTCTGAAGGCTCCACAGAGACGAAGAGACGAAGCCAAGTCAAGTTGATTGTCAGAAAAGTGTACTTTATGGGTGGTTTAAACCTGGACACATTTTTCCTTGGTTTCTGGAGTGAATGCCAAACAGCAATAAAACTTGAAAACTGCTAAATGTTGGTTTCTCTACTTTTACCTCCTCTATTAATTTTGGTTCTATTTCTGTTTCTATGCATGGCCATTAAGGTAGTCCCCCCTGTAGCAGCAGTGATTGAGAATTTGGTTTTATGGTCTCACCATTTGGTGACTCCTATAAATGGATGATTGAAATCTATTCTCTGTTGGGTAAGAGAAGACAGAGAATCTGGTTTCTTGGTTTTGTGAATTTATTTTTCTTATTTTCATTTTGAACCTAAATCAAATTTATTTTTCTTATTGTCATTTTGAACCTAAATCAATGAAGAATTTTTCCTTCCTCTAGGAAGGAAAATAGTTGTTTGTTTGTAGACTGAGTATTTTTTGTTTGTTTCTGTGTTTACTCTTACCATGTCATTGAAATTGTGGAGATGAAGCTGTATATTCTTTACGTGGTTGTGTGACTACGTGTCTGATCCACAAAGCCATTTACCTTGCCTTAAGACTGTGAAATGTTTTGCTACTTCTGGAGGGTATTCATAAATTATATGACTGTAAGACCACCATGCAGAGTGGGCCTTTCTCAGGGCACACTGCAGATTCAGGGTGTCCCCTACCCTGTCTCTGCCCCTGGTGGGAGCAACGCAAGAGC